GAAAGTCTACAATGCTACCGACCAAAAATCCGGGGGTCATTGTCATCCAAAGTCACCAATTCTAGCGTTTGTTGGCCAAACATCTCGACATTCAATGGCCATATGTTCGTTATTGAGAACAAAGAGGATAAAAAAAGTTATTTGAATTTGAATATCAAATTTATGAAAAAAAAATAAAAAATATCGGCATATCTCATTTGACAGTTAATTAAGGAGTAACAATTCTCAAGTTAGGAAAATTAATTTAATGCAGCTTCCAAGAAAGAACATTTTGGAGTTTAAAAAAAATTATAAACTTAACTACTTATTAATAAGATTAAAATAGAATTTATCTCCAAATAAATTTGAGTAACAGACTAAACTTATTAAAAGTCCTCTAAATAAGACAGCTTCAATTTTTAATTTTTAGAAATTGGTTTAGGCATGAGCCAAAAAAACCTCAATTTGAATTAAATTTGGGTAAACTCAGGTTCGAGGTTTAGGACCCACGGGTTCAACCCAAACACCCCTCCAATTAGTGAAATCGGCTATGGTTTTTTTTTCCCTCTCAATCTTGAATCTGTTGCCTCTCTCCATCAGCTGCCTCTATCTCCATCTAATGCCTCTCTCCATCACAACACAAAGACATGGACCGCTCATCTATGAGAAGACTTCGCCTAGATCTCGTATGGATCTCGTCTCTACCTCTTTTCAGGTATGGATCTCGTCTCCATTGTAGTGCTTTAAAGATTGTTTGCCTAGAACCATCTGGTAGTCTCTATTTCTTTATTCCTAATTTTCAGAAATGTACTGGCTTGTCATTTATGTGTATCTACTTCTAAATTTTCAGATCTGTATTTATTTATAAAGAACTCCCTCTCTAATTCCTTACTTCTAATTTTCAACCCGAATCACGATTCCAAATTCAACCGAATTTATTAGCCTGAAATTAGCCCGAAATTTACTAGAATTATCAGCCCGAAATTAACCCAAATTAGTTAGTCCGAAGTCAACCCACTCCCTTACCGCATAATTTAACAAATTAATTTTGGCTAGCGGGCCGATTTGAATTTGTGGGACTCACAAACTATGACTGTGGTGGACATAAAAACTAAAAAGGAAAAAGAATCTAGATGGCAAAAAGTGTAAGGGTGGGGTGGCTGTTGCCAAACACAAATGGATTCAAATGACATGATTATTAGGAAGAGATTAAGTGGGTACAAACACACAGCAACACTAAACCATCATATCATCTCGACATAAGACTTATATCTACCCCCACACATGAAAAAAGTTGCTTGTAGGCCCTCCAACAGTGTGACCTACTAAATGGCAACTCTTATTAAAGATACAGTACTCACATGATGCTAGGTTACCTATCATTCTTTAATTCTCCAGGTTTTAGCTCTCATGGGACGGTGTAACCTGCAATGGTATGGAAATAATTATTCAAGAATAAAAAATTAAAATGGTTAAGGTCATTGACTATTACTTTAATGATTGTAATTAACTCGGGATAAAGTTAGGATTTATTTTATTTTTTTTTTGACGAGGTCAAATTGTGGTGAAATCAAAAATTTATTTTTCAATGGAGAACCATTGAGGTGTGAAACATGATTTAAAAACTTGAGGAGGGGGCCATGGCTTCCGTGGGTCATAAAATAGCCAATGGACAGTACCATCCTTATGTAGCAATACAGGGGCAGAGCATTGCATGACATCTCAAGAACAATAAGGGTAAGGTTACTTACTTCCACACTTCTTTCCCACCGGTCGGTTCCTGATGTTACATCGCTTGGGGATAGTGATAGCAATAGCTGGCTTGATACCGGCCTGCTTCGCCAAAGGCGACAGCAGGACAGGGCAGAGACATTGCGGAGCAGTCTTGATTAACCCATTAACTTTGGTGCAGCAAGTGGGAGGGACCGTTGCCCTAGCATTTCCCTCAGCGCTCAAGCAGCGACTTAAGCTGGCAGCTGCAGAGCGTATTGGGGTCCTCCCACACTCCCCGGCTGCACCAGCTGTGTATATAAAAACCTCGGAAACTAACAAGTATAGAACCAAAGTCACATAGTAAAATGTCATCTTGGAGGCCATCTTTCTAAGCTTAAAATGAACTTCTATACTATATGGTCCTATGCCAAAAGTGGTGCAAATATATAGAGCTGTATACTGCAATGTGAATGGAGGGAAAGTTTGAGTTTTTGCGGTAGTGGGGTGGTTGTGAAACGGGAGGTAACTATGTGGTGTGCGCTTTAAAGTGTTCAAGACGTAATGATTCAATTGTTTTGTTGGAATTTTGCCATTGGGAGTTGGGCAATGAGAGCTAGGTTCATAGGGGGACACATTATCTTTTCGACTAATGGGCAAGGTGCTTCAAAGGATAAAATTATGCTTACTAAATTTGAATACAAAATATTGCATCTTAAATGATACATCAAAATCATGTGTATTTGAATATTTGGTGGAAGTTAATATACTCAATTGATTCAATCACCCACATGGGATATAAACTTTGATAAATGATTTGATAAACATAGCATTGCTTTTTGTGTTCATCGTGCTGATCCAAGGTACGTTTTTAATTTATTTATCAATAGCATTGTATTACATTTTCTGATATCAGTCACATCGCAAAAATCACTGGCCTGTACAATTTAATTCAAATATATTTTATAATAAATGAATTTACTAGAAATTTGTCAAATACTCATTTTTCAGTTTGACTCCCCTAATGGGGAGTGTTAGCAGGGTTAGTTATTTCGTCACCCCTCAAACTATTATATGAGATATGTTTTGTCCCTCTATTATGACATGTCCCACTTTTACGGTAATTGGTTTCACATTGTACTAAATCAAAGTTACTGTTAAAAACTAATGAATATGCAAGGTGCCCCCTCAATTATCCTATATGGTTTCAAATTACATCTTTAACTTTGTCATTTGGTTTCATGTTGTGCCAACAGACTTTTTTTTTGTGTACAAAGTTTCAACAGCGGTTTGAAAATGTAATAATATGAAATGAAATACTATAATTTAAAGGAGAATATGAGAAATTCAATGTTAATTGAGATAAGACAAAACTAATGTGATACTCTGTAACATCGTTAATGTTGGGTTATTTTTAAAATGTGGCAAAATCACTTATTCAAATCTCTTATCTATATAATGCAATTTAGAATAAAACAGTGACAAGAAAGAACAAAATAGTAACATGTAAATTTATAATTAAACAAACCGATTCGTTTGCAGATCATGAACTATGCTTGAATTTTGTAAATTAAGGCTAGTGTTTGACAATATGCCTTCAAGAGGGATTTTGCCCCTACACTTGATGCTTATGAAAATCTCAGTGTCTATATTCCAAGATACAATGATCTTCATTTAATTGAAAGTAGCACTCCAATTAAATTGTCTAGCAAACCAAAATTGTGTATTGTATTCTCAAAAAATGCAGGGTACTAATGATGAATTTATGAATGTGATTCTGCCTTAATTTGTAATGTATTTTAGAAGTGATCGAAATATGCGATTATGATTCTGATATTGACTGCGAGTCTTTCTCTTACCTTGTGTCAACATCATGACACACAACGAATATGCTTGAGTTGCTATAAGGTTCAATAGTTACTTATGATATAACCAAACCACACTATTTCATAGTTCCGAATTGGAAGCTGGAGTAAGAGTAGCAATAGTTGATTTTAACCATCCTGTCATTTTTTACTTTAGGAAGGAATTGAGTAAGGGATGATTGAATTGAATTCATGAGTTCATGAGTCTTCCATGTATTATTTCAGTCCTTGGGACTGAGTTCTTAAGTTAATGAGTCATGTCTTACTTCCTTCCCAAAGATTGTGATTTCCTTCCCTAGGATTATGAAAACGTATTATTAAGAATTTGTTTGCACAAGTGAAAGCCCTCCCCTTCCCCTCTCTTAACACTTTAGCTCCCTTTGATAAGGGCTGAGCGAGGGTTGTTCTTAGCTTTGATTTAGTTAATGAATTTAGATTATTTATAGATAGAATGGTGACTATTCTAAACAGCCACCATATGAACAATAATGAACATATATAAGTTTGAATTCAAATTTAAACTAGTGCGAAATTTGAATTCCAAATGGCAAAAATTAAAATTTGGGTTAAGAATTTTGGACCCAATTAGTTAAACGAATATTCTCTAAAAAAAAAATAAGGTTTAGTCCACACTGACACCCTCGAGCTAGGTTGGGGCAGGAGATGGCAGCATGCACGCATGTTGTTGAATCGAAGCTCATATAGGTGCTCACCTGCTCACAAAAGTGTGATACCTCTTAGGGCCCAATCCATAGTACAAACTTGATATGCACTTGTAAAATTTTTACCCGATTTAAGCAATTGAATATATTACATTATTTTCCTCACAGAATAAAACACGAGCTCACAAAATTTTACTCGAAACGATGAGTTGATCTCACTTTAATTTAGGTTCAAAATTGATCAAAAATCAAATTTTAATTACTAAAATCTGTTTTAGTCCAATTAATACTAGTGGCCCAACCACCACGACAACCATGTGACGATTTTTACAAGTATAAAAGCTTTGCAATTTATATTTTCTTTTCCTTGTCATTAATGACAATAGATTTTTCTCTCCGCTTTTTGTTATTTTTTTTCATATCCTCAATTTTTTCTTTGGCACAAACAAGAATACAATCCAAAGCTCCTATTTGTCCTCACAATAATAACATTTGTATAGCTATTTAGCATGCTGATAGAAACAATAATATTTATGTTTGGAGGAAGAAGTAGAAGTCATTAGCAGAACGTCTTCAATCCAAAGCGAAATAGAGGTTCTTGTAAGTTGCAAGAAAGAGGCAACACAATTCCTCTTTATAATTAGAACGCTAACAAAGTTAAAAGAAAGAGAGAGAAAGTGAATTAGGTCCCCATACAATTTTAGACTGAAAATGAAAGCGGCAAAAATGAAACAAAAAAAAAAAGAAGAGAGAGAGAGAGAGAGAGAGTCTTTCTACCAAAGTCCTAGCAAATTACTTTGGTTTTCCTATCCATGACAAATTTCTTCCAAGCATTAGTTATTTCCCTCTGCGTCTCGAGTGTTGTTTTCTTCACCACGGTGCCATTTTTCCCTTTCTGATAACTGGATATCATATTGACACTTAGTTTAGCAGGGAGGGTATCCAATTTATGGAGGACTTTTGTGATATCATCCACTAGGCGCTCGGCTAGGGTGCATGAGAAATCTTCCCTCACGACAACCCGAAGCACTGTCACATGTTGAGCATCCGGTGGCATGGTGTAGGCAGGCACAATCCACTGAAAACTGCGCAGCATATCTGACACATCAAACTCATTGTACTGACTGTTCTCCTTAAGAGAGAAGGCAACCACTGGAACACCATTGTCCTTGGACACAATGTTGAATCGGCCTGTCTTCTCCAATCCTCGTTTCAGCACGAGAGCGTTGTCCCGACAATTTTCCATGACATTTTGGTATCCCTAAGTGCAAAATATTTTTGCCAGATTCAGTTAATATGACAATAAGCTCCATATGCAGCTACACACGTTAAATTGAATTTTGAGAGCATTACACTTTAATCCCTTCAACTAAGTCTCCTACATTACATCCTCTTCAAGATTACCTTCTTTATGTGTCTCCACCATCGATTATAAGTTTCACATTGCCCAATCCACTATATTATATTTATATTGCACATCCATCCATCTATGGTTATTGGTTTTACAGTACTCATATTGTAGACATTGGAAACACCTATTTAACTACAAATGTGGACATTTTTCATTCAAGACGTCTGGTTTTGAGAGAACATGAAATCCATGCAAGTAATTGATGAGACATTATGAGAAATTCAATAATTGAAAGAGTGAAGCCAGATCGAGGCCATAATTGAAGGGGTCAAAATTTAATTTACCCTTGGAAAACTTATGCATCTTAATAGACTCTCACCTCATAACCCAAGCGAATTAGTTGATAATACTGAGCAATAACTTGGCTTGAACCTAAAAATGATAGAGAGATGACATTAGGACACTAAAACAAGTGTGTCATGATTTAAGAACACAAAATGATATGTGTTTGTAGTCACCTTTGGAGAAATTGAGGGTGAAAGTAGGTTGATCAGCTCCAAGGTAGTTGATGTGAAAAATAAGTTCCTCGGGTAAGTCTTCTTTGCTCCTCCAAATCACCCACCCAATTCCAGCATACACAAGACCATATTTATGCCCACTAACATTGATGCTCTTCACCAATGGAAGTCGAAAATCCCACTCGAGCTCTGGATAGAGAAATGGTGCAATGAATCCACCACTGGCTGCATCCACATGAATTGGGGTATCCCACCTACAAAATTGAACAGAACAAAGATAGATAAGTTATTACATATAATTGAAAAATTGAAGATTCCCAACACTAAGTTGTAAGTGATTCTTAAGATTCTAGAGTACCCAGTTTGCTTGTTCTTTTCTAGCAAAAGATCATTCAAGAGCTTGACATCTTCGAATTCTCCATTGAGAGTCGAACCCAAGATAGCAGCAACACATATGGTGTTTTCATCCACTAGTTCCACAGCTTTAACCGGGTCCATCACATAGTAGCCTTCCCTCAGCTTCACTTCCTTAAGTTCCACCTCGAAGTAATTTGCAAATTTCTCCCAACAAACCTATATTATATATACGCATAGAGAGCATTAGGAAACTTGTATTTAGTCCAACATACTTAAAGAGCCATCAATTTAACTAGAGAGAGCTGGGAATTACTAACGCATAATATCAATTGTGCCGACATTTACTATTCATAAGATGCCAAGTAGACTAGTTACCAAATTAGATTTCCACTTATTCAAATCTGAGAGACTCTGATCCACATCCAATTTAATTATCTGTCAAATTTTAATTTTATAATTCACATTCGATTCCATTCAGAATGACAAATTTGATATAAAAATGCAATCTTCTTGAATAACTTCATAAGTTGACTTTTAGCAAATTATATAGAAATATCAACTAATTTCAACAAATAATCATTATATATCTTAAAAAAATATATCATTAATTCGAATTATAGTAAAATCAAGTATTAGTATAAATTCAAATCTGTGAAATAGAATGGCTGGGGTTTTGACTCCTCAGCCTGACCTTTGGAGCTAGTATTTGCGACACAAAAAGCCCGCCAAAAGCAGGCCAAGCATAAGTGATACACCAAACTCACAGAATGAGAGATGAAGCTATAGTGTGTTACCTGCACATTGGCTCCGGTGACAATGTTAGGCTTATCGCATGGTTTCCCCTCGGCTCTCCGCTTATTCTGCCACTTTCTCTTGAAAGCAAGGCCTGCCAGCATGATTGCCTCTGACGACCCAACAGTTCCAACCCCCACGGCAGTCTCTGACTCTCCTAGTGGAGCATTGAATAGATGGGCTATCATATTTACACAACGATTCTGCATAATCCATTGAAAAACATTTATGCATTAGAGCATCTGCAAAGAGAATGAATAAAATTTCAAAATAACTAAGGTAGTGTTTGGTAACATGGTGCTTGTGTTATTTTGTGTTTTTGTTTTCATTTTTTGCAAAAAAAAATAATAATAACACGTTTGGGATGTGTTTTCGTTTCTTTACTACCTCGTTTTAAAAATAAGGCCAAAATATGAAAATATAAAAAATGATGTTTTGAAAACATCAAAAAAATAAACATGTGGTGCCCCACTATTTACCATTAATGAAGTATAATCTTTGAATCTCACTATCAACAAAATAAGGGTTTTTTTGTGCCAACTATAAAAAATTTATTTTCCTTTATTTTTTCATCTCTTTCTCTCTTTTGTCTCTCTCTCACAATTGTTACTCTCTCTCTCTTCTGAAGATGAAGAAGCCAAAGATGAAGACGAAGAAGCCGAAGACGAAGACTAAGACCTGTGTATATACGAAAATGCCAGTGACGTTTCCCTTTTTTTAACTTTATAATATATATAATATATATATACACAGATCTGTGTATATATATGCATATAATATATATATACATAGATCTGTGTATATATGCATATATAGACATAGATCTATATATATGATGTTATGTATACATAGATCTACATGTGTGTGTGTTTATTGGTGTGTGTGTGATGTATATATAGATCTCTGTGTTTATATGTATGTGTGTGTGTGCCTGTGTGTATCCTGTCTATATGTGTGTGTGAGCAAAGAATATCGTCTGTGAATTTGTGTGTGAATAAGAAGCTCTCCAATTTCTTTTTTGATCACAAAGAATATCTTGAGGTATTTGAGATTAAATATTAACCAAAATAATATTAATAAAATATTAATCAAAATATATAATACCAAATATATTTTTTATTTTTGTTTTCACAATTTTTTACATATAAATGACTTCCAAACATATTTTAGATTTTTAATTTTTATCACAAAAAAAAAAACTTAGTTTTTTTTTTTAAACAAAAAACATAAAAACAAAAACGTTATCAAACGCACCCTAAAATTTAGTTATTCAAAGATAAAAACTATTCTTCAACAGAAGATGTTCAGAGTAGGTAAATTTTCTCTCCTCTTGTCCTTTTCCATCTCTCTTGTCTACTCTTTATCTTTTCCTTTATTTTTTTCTCTCTCCAACATTTCCAGCAAATTTACAAAATATGAGAAATAATATTTAAAAAAAACAATTAAAATATAGACGATTTGTTGGAGCGTATATTGAAAAAATGAATAATTACAATAAAAAAATTTATATTTTTTGATAACTAAAATACAAAACCTTGTTGAAAATACTCTTAGTCACAATTAGACACAGTTTGGATAGGTGCAGAGTGCACCTGTTCAATCTTTTTATCTTTTTCCATTTTTCCTCTTTGAATGTAGACAACATAGAAGTCAAAGTCCACTCTATTTTCGATATTTTTTTGTGTGTGTTAAGACTCATTTTTCATGGTCCCTAATTTCATAACTAAACCCAAGAAAAATAAACAGGACCACAAGTCAAGACCACCAAATAGAGTTGAATACAGATGCACAAATCAAATCAAATGTTGGAAACATTTTTCTATCAATCCATATTAGAAAAAGAAGCCACTAACAGTGTGAACACAAGAAGTTATAGTTTTTGAAGGGCAAACTACATTTTGACCCTTTCAATCATGATTTTTTTATTTTTTTTCACATAGCCCCTTTAAGTTACTTGTTTTTGCACCCTAAACTATAAAATTAGTTCATATTGCTTCAATGATTAACAGCTGTTAAAAATTTGATAGAAAGTTATTTTATTTTCTCTCTAAACTATGTAATTTTTCCATTTTGCAGGACATGTTGACAATTTCCATCCAAAAAAATGGTGGACATTGCATTTCAGACAATGTGTAATAATTTAAGTAGTAGAAGGAGCAATGTAAAAATTTCAGTGGTTCAAAGAGTAAAGTGAAATCAATTCTGTATTTATGAGGGTTTTAGTACCATTTATTAGTGCTAGAATATGATTCTTACCTAGATTAAAAAAAAACATAAAAAAGTTCGACAACCTTAGCTTAAAAAAAAGTCACGACCCATAGAAACGGGAAGAGCCTAGCTCAAACTATGTAAAATTTGAATTTATTTGTTAGTTTAATGGTTGAAATGGTCTGAAAGCAATATTATAACCGTTATTGTTGGAATTTTTTAATAGGACTATATTACTTGACATATTATTATGTCAATAAATTAAGTCGAATTTTTATATAATATTTTTGATAATCTAATCGGCAAACAACCAAAAAATGCCAATCTCCAAAATTTGGGCACAAGAGTTTCCAATCAAAATAGTGTGTAGAATAAGACCAAACAAGAGGTGGATTTGAAGACTGGTAATACTGCCATGGCCAGAAGTAATTGTTTTTTATTGGACAAAAATATTACTAATAATATTCTTTAAACCTAATTCAATGATCTAATGTACTGTGATTTAATGCACTTACAATGTAACACATCTCAACCATTGAATTAATAACTTGTAACAACTCATTTTAGGGACAATTATCAATGATCCTATTGATTAAGTTATTAAATAAAGTCAGTAAATTAAGTATAAATCCAACTAACTTGCACTATTTACCATCCTGCCTAGTGAACTAATTTGTGACTTTTAAACAACTTATCTGCCAACAACCACCGGGCGATCACACACAATATGAGATGTGAACAGAGATGCAACAAGCCAGTATCGGGATCTAAATTTGACGTCCAATCAATTTACGGAACACAAATTATTGATAAAAACCGTAGCTGTGGGATAAAAAACAAGGGACGTTGCTCTCCTAGCCCCTAGGCCACAACATTGGTCCGTCCATAAAGGTGGAAGCGAAGAGCTAACCAGTTGGCCAGGGAAGAGTGTACAGGAGACGAAAGGCTTGCCTGAAGCTCAGTGGTGACAGGGTACTCATCCATGTCGACGTAGTTCTTGTTGATAGAAGCCATCATGAGCTTATCACACTCTGGCTCCATCCATGTGGTCACAAACGACGCCAAGTTCAGCCTAGGATTGCCATCAAGCATCAGCTCGTCGTTGATGATCTGAGAAGCCGCCTCCTTGGGTATAGAGCTCTCCGGCATCTTGAACCTGCACCTCATCAAACTTTTCATCATTCAATCTAGGCCATATAATTCTATAAATGATCTATAAATTCGAAACGAAATGAAATTAGAATTAATTGTATTCCTACTGAATTTGGGTGTTAAAAAGTGATCCAGTTAGATTGGTGAAATAATGGAGTCGACACAAATCTGGCTATAAATAATTACAAAAGGGTCAGGTATTTGGGTTGAACAAATTTTTCTACCACATGATACAATTTATACTCGCAATCCGACACTAACACTAGAATTCCAAGTGTAAGTTAATCACTTGTATACAATACCTATCATTGTATATGTATGTACATAATATACATATTGGATTGCGATGTAATCAAAAAGGTGAATGGTTTACCTAGGAAGTGAGGACCGAACATAGCGAGAGGCAAAGGTGGAGTGAATAGACACATCTGTTTCTGAAGTAGTTTTAGACAGAACCATGGTTGATATGATGTTGATGATGATGATGATGAGAGAGAGAGAGAGAATTTGGGTTGTGGTTGTTTGGAGCAGAACAGAAACACCCTTCGTGTTTTATAGGGGTATGGTAGGTAAGGGTTCCTTCCTTGCTATGCAATATTGAATTGATTCCATATTCAGCTATCTGAGAGCATATATGGAAGAAATGTCTGATCATTTCCCTTCCAGCTTTTCTAGAAGAATCGTATATATTAAATGATGGCTTGAAAATACAAAAACAGACCAAGTTATTATAATTATGTAAGTCTATTCAACTATGATTTTCAAATGGTAGACCCGTTGGGTCAACAAAGCACTTTTTCCGGTTTAGTTTTCTGAGTCATAATGTACGGGCTCGAGTTTTTTTTTTTCCTTATGTTGAATACGTAATCGGGTTATTCCATGTACCTTTTCAGCTGGGTCCATTACTATATGTTTTTGCAGCCAACCGGGATTGCCCGGGAAAAAAGACAGTGCAGGTCCTTTCAAACCGCCCAAGTTGGAACGGTCAAGTTCACACAAACATATATACGGGTAAAATTACGCCATCAGGATTTGGTTGTATCATATTTACGCAATTAAAAAGGTTATGAAGTTCTTGCAAAAAATGAGCTGATGATTTAATAGACAATAAACTAGTCAACAATCAGATTTGGATTGAATTTCCACTGATATTATTCTAACTTGAAAACCAATTTCGATATTCAATTTGATTATCCAACGGATTTTATTTTTACAGTCTATATCTGAATACATTAAATTTTATAAATTTGATCGAATGTGAGTCAGCTAGAGTAGATTGTTAACATTACATTTTAATGTTGATTTAATTTTGATGGTGTATAGAATCGAGAAGTATGAACAATGAGAGTTGAGTGACTTCTATGCATGGCGGATGAGTTGTGTGTGTGAACAAGGTAACAACAAGCAAGAACACAAGGATATAAGTGGTTCACCAAGCTGAAGAGTTAGGCTAGAACATTATAATGGAGCCTCTTGCTAAACCTATTTTAATGACCCGGAGAAGAAGACAATTACACTATTGAGAATACAATTGCACATACCCTTGGCAAGGCAAGAGTCTGCCTATTTATCTACTAGGACAGTGTGGTTCTCAAGTAATGACGGTGTGGTACCCTAATTTGTAAGAATATTTGAGGGAATATTTGCCATTAGAAGTTCTCTTATCTAGGTATGACATGACATTCTAGAAGCTATGAGGTGGTAGTGACTTCTTGCCCAAGGTAGGGTTTAGTAGTGTAATTCCTCTTTTGTCCTTTTTATTGGCGTTTGCTGAGCTTTTTCAATATTTGTCGAACTGCTTTGGTGGCTGTCAAGCTGACTCATGTCTTGGCTGACCTGGATTGTGACAGGCCAGGTCAGCTAGGTCTTGATCAAGTTAGCCAATCCATCTAGTGTGTCATTAACTCATTTGTTCTTCATATTTCCACTTGGTATCATCAGTTGCCCCCCAACCTCGAGCGGAGACTATCTTGAGTTGTCCGTTGGTTGGGTTTGAGTTACCTTGAGTATTTGGTGTACTAAGTTATTATGGCATGTTCTTTGTGCTTATCCAATCTGGCTCATAGGATTGAGCATAATCGATGAGATATGATTGTAGGCATGGTGTGTGAGACCCGCATATGCATATGCATATGCATATCATTTTATAAAATATTGTGGGTTAAAGTATAATTTGTTAATATATGCATGGGTTAACATTTTGATAGTTAAACTCGGAGTAATTAAGTATATTTTTTATCAAAGAATTTTATTGTTGAATTACAAGATAGTAGAGCGCTTAGATAAGATTTTAAAATTGTTAGAACAATTTGTGTGTTAAATGTAAGAAAACAAGAAACAAATGGGGACTTTAGTGTGAATAGTGGAAAAAGTGATGAGTCAATAGGACACTCGACTTCGTGGGGTTTCACCAGCCTTTGTGGTCAGTGGGTATTTAAGAACCCTTTTGGCATAAATTGGTTTTTTGAACAGGAGAATTGGGGGTGTTGGTTGGTTTTGAAACAACCTGTAAACCTCTTGTTTTCTTGGGATGACACAAGTTTATTTTCTTTCATTGCATCTATAGTGTTAGTTGAACTCAAGCTTTTGGGTTGTGGGTGTTGTGTTGGGAAACAAAGAACCCTAGGTTCTTCAAGTTGGGAAGGTGCAGTGGAGTTTGAAGGAATCTGGCCGCAACAAAGGTAAATGAATTCTTAAAAATTTATGTGTTTTTTAACTTTTAGATCAATCCTAGTAGGGTGGATAATGGTTGGGTGGTGTTAGAATTGAGTTTTAATGGTAAAAAAGAGAGTTTGAACTATATTTTATACCTCGGCTCAGAGTTGAACCGGTTGAATAGCATCTGATGGTGTATTTCAACGTGATGTAAATTTGTGATGACGAGTAAATGAAAGAAACAATATTGGAATTGTTGGGATCTGAGCTACTAGACTCGAGTGAATGATACTGAGAATTGTCGAGGAGTTAGGGAATTAACACAATAGGAATATAGTGGTCCACCAGCTCGGGAGCTCTGCTAATCCACTCTTTAATAGAGACTCTTGCTCCTTGTCTTTCAATAATGATGATTGCAAGAGTACAATGACTAGTTTTTGCCTCTAGGGTTCCTCTCGTTCCTTGGGGGCGTTACATAGTATTTATAGGGTTGTTCCCTATTTAGTGGGATCTTAGCCAAGATTCTTGCCCTTATTTTGTGGGGTTCTCCTTGATTATAGGAGAAGATCTTGGTTGGTTGAGATTAGGTGTCTTGATTATTGTTTCCTAACGCTTTTAGGAACCTCTCGTGATCTTCTAGTTGTTGCCTTGGTTGTTATTGCCCTTGCTTATCTCGAAGGGACCTCCAGCTCTTACTATTCCGAGTTCTGTTCATCTAGTCTGACCTCCTGGGCTGAGCTGACCTTCTGAGCTGGCATTTGGGATTTATCTTGAGGTATCATCAGTTGCCCCCAGCCCTTGGCCCAAGCGAGCTTGGGCATGGGCTGAGCTGCTTTTACCTTAGGCCAGACCTGCGCCTAGCTGACCTTAGCCTGCATGTGAGATGCACGTGATAGGGGCTTTTTGATGGTAGCAGCAATCATGGCTCTCTTGGTTCCCGCGCACACCTCATCCCACGTCTTTCAAGCCTTAAATGCTCGAAACGACTAAAAGAAAATGTACAAAACCACCATTCATCTTCTACGCTGTTCACTTTCGTCTCCGGCTCTTTTGCTCTATGATTTTTGGGCTTTCCTCCATGCGATTCCCTTATTCTCTACTCTAGACTGTGCTTTCTGGGTTCGACTCGAAGTCCTGCTTTGTTCCTCTCCTCCAATTTTGTTCTTTGGCTGCTATTTTTTGCTCTCTTCCCTGTCTAGGTACGCTTCCTTCTGCCCCTTTCTCTTTCTCTTGCCTTTCCTCACTCTGGATCCCTTAACCTCGAGGTGGCCATTATTTTTCTGAGTTTTTTGATTCTTTTTCTTTTGGAATCGCAATCGTTGCCTATCTCCTCTTCCCCGCTTTGTGGATTGGAACTCCACTGTGCGAATTCTTATTGTCGGGAGGTACAGTGCTGACCCTAGGATTATCAGGGGGTGTTTAGTTAGTATTTCTCCTTTTTATAATTCTTTCGACTTGCCTTTCTCTTTGCCAGTCATGTCTGCCTCCTTTGGAGCAACTCCCTCCTCTGTTTTCCTCCTAGGTGATAGGTCTGTTGAGAGAGATTCTAATTTAGGGGATATAGGTGATGAGATTGACAACTTCCGCGGTGTTGAGGCTGTCAATACCGAGGTGAACTCCAAGGAACCCCCCTCATTTTCCTCTCGTGTACCCTCTAGTGCTAACAAGGGTAAGGGCAAGGTGAGTGGTGTGAAAGTCATTGGTTCAGGCGTAGGGGCTGCCTTTAGGAACGCTGAACTTGTAGGTTCTAGTGGACTTACCCCTATTGACCTAAAGGTTTTCAGTGCTTGCTTTCGTTTCCCCCTAGGGGTTCAGCCCTAGAGTCCTGATGAGTACACCACATATGTTTACCATGTCTATAAGAAGGTTTGTTTCTTCCTGGCAGCTTTTGATAACGGACTTCGCTTCCCCCTTCATCCTTTTATCAAAGCTGTCCTTCAGCATTTCAATGTCTGTCCTGCCCAGCTCTCCCCCAATTTCTGGGGTGTTCTTGTGGGTTTACTAGTCTTCTTTAAGGACCATAAGCTTGGGGTCTCTACTATTTCTTTACTTATGGAGTTGTTCAATGTCAAGTAGACCTCCTCCGACGGCTTTCTGTATATTTTCAAGAGGACTAAGGCCAAACATGTCATCTTTGACCTCCCAAGCTCCCATAAGGGCTGGAAGAAACAATTTTTCTTTATAGGCGGTACACAGTGGGAGTTCAATTCAGAGGATAAAAATGATACCCTCCCCATCCCTATAGAGTGGTCTGCCCCCGATAATTTGGGTATGTTTCTGCCTAGACCGTATTTACTCCAAGTTTGGCTGCTTTGTTAATTTACTTCTTGTTTTCCTTGGTTTTTTAGGTATTCGACCTGAGCTCAGCGCTAAAGAGGAGCGAGTATTGCGAAAATTGGAAAAGTACAAATCAGAGAAATATTCTGAGCTCATCCAACCTTGGGCTCTCGTAAAACACGGGTTCTGCCTTCCTGAGGTGAGGGTTGAAGCTCCCCTTCCACTTTTCGTTGCTGGTCCCATCCCACTTTTCGCTGAAGATATATCAGGTAACACTTTTTCTTTGTACCCTCTCTCGTCTTTTCTCAGTCCAAGGGTGAGACTTAACTATTCTTAAGTCCCGCAGGTTCATCATCAATGGAGCCCACTGCTGCTGAACTCAGGGCTAAACTTTTCCAAATGAAGAATATCAAGGGCAGCAGCAAGAGCAGCGCCAAATGCAAGTCAGGACCCAGCTCTATCGATGGCTCCACTCCTGCCAAGGTGCCAAGGACAGACATGTCACTCACTCCCTCTGCTCCAACTATCCTAGACTTCTCTTCCCAAGGCACTTTTTCTGTTACTCCAAGCGCTGCTGCGTCAGGACAGGCAACCCCATCTATTTCTGAGGTCGAGAGAGTTGTGGAGAC